TTTGATGTTATGCCTCCTTCTTTTGATAGTGGTTTCTTGGCCTATGAAAATATAATTATGCAAAAGTATAATTCCCTCGAACACGTAAATGTTGGAAGAAGGAAAAAGGAAAATGAAATTTTATGTTATGCCTCCTTCTTTTGATAGTGGTTGCTTGGCCTATGAAAATATAATTATGCAAAAGTATAGTTTCCTCGAACACGTAAATGTTGGAAGAAGGAAAAAGGAAAATGAAATTTGATGTTGATTGGGAGGATTTCATTATTGAGACCCTCCTGCTTCATCAGGTGGACCTAGAAATGGGATATTATAAGTCATGCTTTATTTGGGTTAGTATTCGGTTATGGGGCGGATAGTGGATTTATGGGTTAAAAAAAGTTTATACGGATAGTTTAATAGGATTAAGACACGTGTAAAAAATTAGTGAGAGTGGTATATGTTTACCTTTAATTGGACGGTAGGGGCTTATGTTGATCCAAAGTATAACGGAGGGCATGGACTTACCATTTATTAAAGTTCGGGGATATATCCGTCTCTTTTTCCTTAATAATAAAGTAATTATTTCGCTTTCTAAGGGTTTTTAATTATTACTCCATATGTCTTTAATAACTTGTCCACTTTTAAACTGGCACACCTATTAAGAAAATAATTATTGACATGGTGAATTTATCATTTTACCCCTGTTGTAATTATGAAGTTGATGAATGAAAAATTTAATATTTTCAAGAAGTTCTACATTTTTCAAAAAAAATAATTAAGGGTATAATTGGTAAAAAAAAATCTTTTTTTAATTTGTCAGAATGAACAAGTTATTAGACACAAATACAAAAGAAAAAATGGACAAATAATTGAGGACATAAGGAATATTATATAATCAAAACAAAAGTCATTATCTCATGCATTTGAAACCAAAAATTTCAAAGAAAAGAAAGGAGTAGACAAGTATTAATTAAACATTAATATGTCATATCGAAAGAGGTGATGATCCAACATAATCTAATATGTTACGTTAAAGGAAGTAACAGTTCAACGTTGTATAATATGTCACATTGAACGAGGTGCCGATCTAATATCTCGCTGAAGAAGGTGATGGTCCAATATATTGTATAATATGA